GTCTCGAAAAAACAATAAATAAATAAATAAATAAATAAATAAATAAATAAATAAATAAATAAATAAATAAATAAATAAATAAATAAATAAATAAATAAATCAGAAAAAAGGAATCCCCTCTGACTCAGTAAGGCCAAAGAGATTGCTACCACACACTTGGCTGGGAATGGCAGGTGGTGCTTCCTTGCCAACAGCCAAAGTGGACAATGATTTCTATTCACACTGTGATTGACACTGAAATAAAGGCAAAACGTGTGACTGATTGTAGAAATATTTACTGTATGTGTAAGATAGAGTAAATGATGGAAAGTTTTAGAAGGTAGTTGAAGCTATGCTGCATTCTGAATTATTGACAAAAAGCAGTGAAAATGGATGATGGTGATGTGTGTGTTTTTGTTATTATTGTGTTTTGTTTTTTAATCTTTTAGCGTCAGCAACGTTGCTTTTCAAATAAACTTAATAATCTGATGTCTTAGAATTTCTGTTGCTGTGAAGAGACACCATGACCACAGCAACTCTTATAAAGAAATACATTTCATTGGGGTGGCTTACAGTTCAGAGGTTTAGTCCATTATCATCATGACGGGGCATGGTAGTGTGCAGGAAGATATGGTGTTGGAGAAGGAGCTGAGAGTCCCACATCTTGATCCACGGGAAATAGGAAATGAACTGTCTCACTGGGTGTAGCTTAAGCATATATGAGACCTCAAAGCCCACCCCCACAGTGACATACTTTTTCCAACAAGGCCATACTCCAACAAAATCACACCTCCTAATAGTGCTTATTAGGAGCACCCATGAGCTTATGGGGGCCAATTTCAAACTACCATACCTGGGTCCAATCCCCAGAGACTACAGGGTATAAAGAGAGTTGTTCTCTAACCTCCACACATGTGCCAGGGCAAACACAGGTGTATGTATGTACACGTACACACACACACACACACACACACACACACACACACACACACACACACATAAATGTAATGAGGACACTCTGACTTTCACTCACTACATACAAGTCTGTTCTAGCACTTACAGAATGCAGAGAACCTATACTTGGTTTCCTGGACTCATTCTTGGTAGCATGTGTTATTTCAAACAGGAGTTAGCTTTTCTGACTTGTTGGTAAGTTTCCAGTAGTTTATTTCCTTGTACATTTATTATTTCTTTACTGACATGGCTTCAAGGATGTTTTCCTGGTTATTGATACAAGCACAGTGTGAAGTGTTTACTGAGTCACTTGGGCCTCTGTGTCTGTTAGTATTCAGCTACTATAGTGCTCATGTTTTTAAGAAACATGCCTTGTTCAAATTTGAATATGTTCTTCGCAGTCTCAATAGATTCATCATCCAACGGAGGCTTCCTCTGGCTTCCAGGTTGAAGAAATCTGTTAATTGTAGGGAGTTGGCTGGTTCTAACCTTGAATTCCTAGAATGTAAAA